ATATAGCAACACCCGCATGAAAGTGGAATGCGATAAATGACATTATGTGAACAATCTAGAAATTTCTTACGATGCTTGGTAGTGCACTGGCGTTTCCTTTTTTTGACAGGACAGGTGACACGTGAAAGATATGACAATTTGTGAGGTGCTGAAAAAACCACTCGAACGCCGCACTGTTGCCCTATTTTCCTGAGACGATGTGAAATATTATGCATGTATGGTATGACCGAAATCTTCTTGCCTCGACCGGTTTCCATGCTTGCCTGCTGAACATTTTCCTGGCAGCTTTTCTTCTTTTTTCTGTAAATTACTTCCGCTACCGATGTGAGCAGCTTATGTGGATAACCTGCTGCTTCGAGCCGACGAATCTGCGCCAAGAAACTTCTAGTGACAACGTGGTGACATGATTTATCTAATGCGTTGGAAAGACATGTTTGAACAATGCTTCGCTTGACTAACTTAGTGTGTGACGATGTGTACGGCAACAACGGTTTTTTGTGCTCGTGGTTCGTACATCCAACATGAATGTTGATTGGCAAATGTTAGTCTGAGATCTAAAAAACGAATGCTGTTGTCTTCTGGCATTTCATGTGTGATACACAGAGGCGACAGGCACTCTTTAAATAATGATATGAGGTGACTTGTTGCAACTTGAAAGTTATCTGCATTGCGCTTGAGAATCACAAGATAATCATCTACAAAACGGAAGGTTTTCAGAACACTGCTACCATTGAGCCGTGCGTTAAGAGCTCTGTCTAACTTTGCTAGATAGAGGTCACTCAACAGTGGGGCAATGCATGAGCCTATAGACACACCATTCTTTTGAAGAAAAATTTCATTGTTCCATTCAACATAGGTAGATTTAAGGTAAAACGAGACAAGGTCAAGGAAAGCACCGCCACTAATACAAGTCGTGTTCTGGAATGCTACGGATCCAAATTCATCGATGCATTCTTCGATACATGAAATTAGTTCTTTGGATGGCAGAGAATAATACAAGTCTTTCACATCGATTGAAAAGGCGGTGAGCTGTTCGTTCGGGTTTTGGTTGATGAAGCTTATGACCTCTTGCGAATTACGGATGAGGAAAGGATCATCAATTTTGAGCAGCTTCAAATTTTGTTGAATGAAACTCGCTAGTGCTTTCTGCCACGTTCCTTTTTCTGAAATTATTACGCGAAAAGGTGAGTCTTCTTTGTGGGTTTTGCATGAAAAAAACATATCTAGGGCTAAATTCTGACATTTACCTATCGTTAGTGCCAGCTTTTTTAGATCTAGTTGCGAGCAAAGTAAGATGGCTTTTTCCTTAACTTTTGCTAGGGATACATCAGGGCACCGTTTAAACACAGAGAGAACAGCGTCATGCGCTTTTTGAAGGTACACATCATTTGGTAGTACAGCAAAACCTCCCTCTTTATCTGCTGGTACTACACACAGTTCATTCCGGAGCAAGAACGTGGAGACTTTCTTTAGAGGCAAGTTGTGGCTTGTGGGCTTACCATGCATCAGAACGTCAACGCCCTCGGAAACGCACCTGTCGCACTCATTCGTCGGTGCGAGGCTTGAGACCTGTCGAACCACAGATAGCAGCTCCGCGGGAGTCTTTCTCTGTTCCACTGCAAACTTTGGGCCCAGCCCCAGGGTGCGGCGCACTTGTTCTGAAAGCTGGACGTCATCAGCGACGTGGACGACGCCTTCCTGACGCGGTCTAGTTGGCTGCACAATCCGTAGTTGCCTCAGAGCACATTGCCACATATGTTCGACAGTGGAGTCTATAAGATTGTTATATTCTCGCCACCTTTTTCTCCTGCCAGCTGGTAGCCTTTCGTTGTGGTGAAGTTGTAGATTCAGGGTGTCCCGGTGGAGTCGTGCTTGCCTTTGCCATTCGGACCTTAGGATTTTGCACATCCTAACGCCATGGTGGTCCGAAGGGCTGAAGCCACCAAACAAGCTTTTTACTTCCGGAGGGAGCTGTTTTTTTCGAATGCAGAATGATAAGATGCGGGCGCGGCACAGGGCGACGGAGATGAGGGTAATGAGCAAAGAGGAATGCACAGCAGTAGGAGTCAAGAAGCCCGAGGAACTAGAAATATAACTTAGAAGAGTGAAACTTTGGGCTAGTTGGTATTGCATGATGAAGAACGTACAGCGCGAACACAAGACGGGAATACTAAAGAAGGGACACAGACAAGCGCTGAGTAGCATATTTTGACATGTTGATTTCAAATATGCAGTTACTTTTCCTGTGCAACAAGTACTTTTCAAAATACTGAGAAATTCATGACTATGACTAATTTGGAGGCGAGTTTTCTCTTGAATGCTGGTAGTGATAAAAGACAGTGGCATATGAAAATGATGTTGTGTGGTCAGAGCTTGCAGTGCTACAAGAATGAAGGCTCTAGACTGATTTGGGCCAAAGTTACAGCATGTCAAACTTTTGTAAGCAAAATGATTTGGTACCACCGTGGAGAAATTATTACTTTTTGAAAAGATCTCTCATGTTATTTTGTTCAAGTTTTATGCCTACTGCATTCCCCATTTGTGCCCTTTTCAAGCAAAATAAGATTCACTACGATAGGGTAACACCAGAGATATCGTCTCTCCAAAACTATATCATGATCAAAAACACAGTTTTGAGATAACGAGAGAAAACATTTCAGGACAAGTTAGAAATAGTTATAGAAATCTTTATAGCACTACTGTGATCGAGGATGACTTACTGGTTCAGTCAGGCAAGAATGAATATTTCACAACAATTTCGAATAAAATTAGAGCATCTAAAAATTTATTTGTAAAAACCGATAGTAATTTCAAAAAACTATTTTTTAAATATTCTTTAACAATGTGCAACTATGTATCAGTCCTACAGCACTTGTCAATTCACCACCTTTCTGAAAAAAAATAATTATCGAGACTGGTTGAGTAGAACCAGATATTGTTGCTCCAATATTACCATTAGAAATGGCACTCTAGGCAACCAGGTAAAAAAAAAATTGCCATTTTAGTGCAGCCTCCGCTGCGACAATCTCATGGACACAAAAATATCGTTTGTGAATGTCTGGCCATTCTCACTACAGAGCATTGCACTCGTGGATAAAATGTTTGCGTCAAATGCATTACACGACTTTTCACCATCGACTCTGCATGAGTTCTATGCCGTCGTCACTTCGCCACAACAGTCGCACTTCACTCTCAGTTTCTTTGCGAGGTCGCATTCTCGGTCACCCGCGACTAGTTTCGCACATTTGCCACATACATTGCACCACGCTTTGCACCGTAGGGAATCAGCAAGCAGCCTATTCAAGATCTCCAAGTCAACCGTCAAATACGAATCTGCAGTGTCTGCGGTGGAGGCCCATATGACGTGTCCCTTGCATCTGTGAAAACCGCAGTCTTTCGCACTGTCGCCGGTGTCGACTCAAGTCGTTCAGGCATCACCTGCTCACGAGCACTCACTTGGGCTATTTCGCTGCTCGTGACAGCTTTAGTGTGAACTCGCACAAGGTTAGAGTCAGCGGGAAGAATGCCGTCCTTCTCGGGCGGATTGCTGTCAATTGCATTGTTACGGGTCGCTTGCTTATCGCTTGTAAAGCCAGACGGCAGCATGCCCCTATATTGCAGACCGCTATTACCTGCGCCAACGATGTTGAATGCCCCGGCACCGTGAGTTGCTTGCTCATCAGTTGCAGAACTGTGCGATACCGTGCCTTTGTGGAGCAGACTGCAATCACCTCCATTGCCGTTATCAGGTGCCAAAGCAACGACGCTCGCTTGCTGGTAGTTTGCTGAAACCCTTGATGTGCCGTTAGCACTTTCTTTTTTTATTCTGGCTTGCCTTCAGCTGATCTGATACACTGAGTGTAACTTTCTCGTTCTTCCAAGCACGTTCGTCGTAGCATCGTAACCTAAGCCAAAATGGCGCCTTAACTAGCCAGGTTTTCGAATACAGCACCCTAAGCCAATCAGGCGACGTCATTTTAGCCACGTGATGGAAAGTGGCTAATGACAACATGTTACGCCTACTTTCTTTTTCTTTTTTATTTGAGAAAGTGCCAAGCTCAGTGTTACCCGACTGAGGAATAAAAAATTCAAACTCGAGAGCTTTTCAACGATACCAAAATGGCCACGTTGGAGCAGGTTTTTGAAGAGTCAAAGGCAGCCGAAATAATCTCGATTTGTCCACAATTTGAAGGGCTGGGGGTGTGCCAATGCATCTTTGATTTACTGTTATGCCGATAATACACGGGATTTTGAAACGAAAACTTGCTCACAGGTGTGCGATGGTAGAAAGAATACGAAAATGACATTTTTGAAAATTCGACTTTTGGGCAAATTTTCGAGTCCCAAGAGCTGTGTCTTCTCTTAAACGCAGCTGGGAACTGCCTCCTCATACCGCTACTCATATTCAGTGAACGAAAAAAAATAACACTAAAAATCTAACGAAATGTCAAGCAGTGCAAAAACTCTGAACAGATCGGAGGCAAATCACAAACAGAAAGGAGACAGAGAGAAAGGAAAGCCTGCTATTGGATTTTGATGTGTATATGGCCATGTCCGGCTTCTCATGCTCATGCTAGCCACATGTGGCCAGACAGTGGCGCACTGTCAGCTAGACACTGCTGTATAAGACGAGGGGTGACTTTAGCTCGTTGCTTATTAAAAATATCTCGACTTATTTTCCGGTTTATATGGTACATAAGGCACTGTGATGACACTTAACAACGACAAGCTATGAGGCACTAAGGTACTTCACACCTAAAACATCACTGTGCTCTCTCATTTTTGTTGTGCCTGCTCTACCGCTTCACGCGCAGTGTGGCCAATGCCACCCTTTGGTACAATGCCCGTACAAAAGAGCATCGGAAGTGGTGGCAAAAGAACACTGTTGGGTGAAAACAATGAGATGTGACTAATCGAATGCAATGCACCATTGTGTGTGATGTGGCTCAGCATTATTTGGTGAAGTTGTGGCCTTTGCATAATAGTGGATTGCTGTGCAGGAGGACGACAAGGTGGTGCAGTTGGTGCAGAAGTATGGCCCCAAGAAGTGGACCTTGATTGCCAAGCACCTCAAGGGGCGCATTGGCAAGCAGTGCCGTGAGAGGTGAGCCTTACTTTGACTCCTGGTTTGCACAAGTGTCTGTGCTATTCTGCCATTGCATGCTGGAGAAGACCTCCTTGCTGCAAGGTTAGCAAGCCCAAAAAGAATGGAATAAGTGCTGCTCAGATGGCCTTTTTATGTATTTTAATCTTTTCATGCATGTTACATCATTCGGGATTGCCCCTGTGCAGTCTTTAATGAGTAAATAGGTTTACTCAATGGGCCCAGGGCACACTCGAGAATTATTGATACATACGAGGACAAGATGACACATGAGGGAATGTCTCAACAATACAGTTAGAGAGCTGACAATAATGTTCCTTTTACGCAAGACGAAAGTCTGTCTTTACAGTCAACGCGGTTCACTCGTGCGACATGAGTTCTCGGTGACAGCGCTCGCACACCATCGTTGCGATGATCGTCACACTGAGTACAGAGGCGTTGAGTTCATCGCTGCAGCGTCCATGGTGCATACGGGCCCTGCCTTGCTGGCTCGAGCTCAAAAAACCCCATGCCACACCATGAAATCTTATTGGCGTCTCGGTGATGCTCGACTGGGCGCTCGTCCCCGATAAATATCAAAGCCAGCCGTGTGCACTCCACAAACCAGTGTTCGTCTTTCTTCTTTTCGTTTCAGTTCCGCTCTGCGGGCTGTTTTGCGTACGGCGCTGTGATTGCATTTGTCACAGGTCTAAGTTCGCTATAACAAAGGTAGTATAGAAGAACTTGTTGCTGGGCGAGTTGGTGCACCTAGCACAAAAGGGTAACTGCTCTACCTGACACATATGTGAAAACCTGACACAAGGAAGCAAAGACTTGCGACAAACTTTTTTTTTTTCACGCAGTCCACCTATGAGTACATTCCGTAGAAACCATCACCGAGCATGCTTGTTTCAGAAAGGTATTGTAGCAGATGGCAGAAAGAGAATGATGCTGCTACAACATGCATCCCAGTATATCATGCTGGCCTTGAAGAAGTCTTGCACACACTTTGTACAGCAAAGCTTTCCAGCACAGGTGGGTTACAAGGGTCTGGTTTTCTGCCGTATGTGCTAACTGCAGCAGTGGAGGCAATGCTGAAGAAAATCAAGGCTGAAAACTTAAATATTCAGTGCTGAATGCAGTCCCACGTGTGTCATTGTCACAGCTGCATGTAGACCTGTAAGTCACGAGGGCATATGTGGAAGATGTGTTTTGACCATTTGGCGTCACATAGCCCGCAATGTTTTTATGAGCACTGGCTAACACTTCCAGCTTTCCATATGCAGAGACCCCCAAAATAATTAGAGGCGAAGGGTGTCGGTTCAGTCTCTATTAGCGGCAAGTCATCTTATACCCCTGTAACACTGCCACCACTGAACTGTTAAACTCCGTCAACGTAAATTTTCCCTAGAGAGTTCCACGGAGATGGAGTTGTGGTAGTGTCGCACGGCAATGACAAGGTTGTAATAGTTGCTGGGGGGGGCCTCCATCGCCGCTGTTTGATTTTCGTAGAGTATCCTAATTTCATCTCTTGTTGCTTTTTTTATGTATCTTTGTTATGCGGTTTTTACAAAAACGCTATGTTTGTTTACAATTGTGCCATGATCGACCACTCGTTTTTGTAGACCGTAAGTTACCCTTGAAATAGGTCGGGTGTTGTTACCCATTCCTGCAGCCGTCAAAGCAGGCGACGATGGTGCAGCACTGTCAGTCATTCCTTTCATGGGCAAACGCAAACACATCGACGACAACTGCACGCACAGACGAAGTATTTTTGAATGGCCGCTCCTGGCCTGAATCGCGAAGCACGGTATGGAGAACATCAGTGTCGAGAGTAGCTGCGAACTGGTGGGCGTATATATGTGTAAAGAATCACGTGATGAATGAGTACTGCAACAAAAGAACTTTTAATATTGCCAAAATGTATTATTGTTCTCACTGCGGCAATTCAGTGCTCGAAATTTTTTTCTGACCTGCTGATACTGGAGACGAGAGTACCTAATTCAACATCAAGGTGAAAGAAAAATGTTATTTCCGAGTCTGCAGCGGCGTCCAAAATGCACAAAAAGTGCCGAAATCAGACCAAACTTCATGTGTGCACCATTCCCACACAATGCGGTTCACCTGCGACCATCTTGGTGTTGTTTCGTTCGTGAATGGACCTTTCCAGAAAATGCAGTGCCACGCCTTCTCCTGGTGGATAGGTGCTTGGGCATTACGCCTGCTTTTGTTGTGTGCCGTGAGTGGCTTTGGCTTGGGTAAGGTGCTGCTATTGTGAAGAAACAGCCATGTCCGATCGATCTGACTTTCATATACGTAAACTAGAGTGTGCTGTTCGTCGCAAATTATTGTAATCATCATTGAACATGCTAAAGAAGAAGGAAATCGGCGGACACACTTGCTCGGTTCTTGGATGTGATAATACGTGAAAGTCACAGGACATTTCTTTGATTGCTCGGTGCTACTTGAGGACTTCGATTTATGTGATGCTGCAGCTAAGTTTGACCTTTGTTGAGATGTCTGGTTTCTTATTCACTGTGATTGCGGGGCTGGGATATTACACATGAAGCATAGTGAAGCATGCGGATTTATTGAGGCGAGAGCTTTAGAAAGCTCATTAAAAACTCACAGGGTGTTTGTCTATCCACCTAAGATGATTGGATGATGAAAGCCATCTTCTTCTTTTTCTCAGTCGATGACCGATCCTACCACGCCAGTCCACAAGTGTCAGCAGGATTTTGCCGTGGGTGCAAACCCGTCTTGCATCACGGATCAGGGAGGGGGAAAGCACTGGTGTAGCTTGGGTGTGGGCAAGTGCTGGTGGGGCTTTAGGGGAGTGGGTGCCTCTTTGCTCCTCCTTGTTGCTCCCCATGCTCGCCATCATTCACATTTCCCTTCGAAAACTTGCTACACCTAATGAGCACTGCCTTCAGAATTGGATGCAGTGCAAAACTGGTTTTGCATTGCCTTTATGATTAGACCACGTTTGACCGAGCTCGAACGTTTTAATGACGTCACAATTTTGGCAGATGTTTGGTGTCATATATATGTTTTGTCATCACGTGATGATGTATTTTTGGATCACTCGACGCCACCGACGAGAGACGCAAATGGTCTAATTTCACGTTAGATTAGGCATCTTAAGTTTTCACCTAAAAATAAAAATTTGCAGTCGGTGGCTTTGGCGTCCCAGGGCGACGGTGTCAACAAGAGTGATGCAAAAGTCCTCGTGTGATGGCATCACCATAGGACACGTCATCTTGACATCACAGATCACAAGAATACGTAAGGTCATCAAACGGTCTTATGATCACGCCATCACACGACATCGTCGCTTTGCACTGCCTCTGTGAGCAGCCCACCAATCACGGAGGCCGAGCAAATTAGGTGACGTGCCTCCGGTCATGGAAACAGTGCAAAGCCACTTTAGGTGCAGAAAGCTTTCGCAGGGAGGCGGGAAGGACAAATAAATGGACTGAACAAAAAGAAGAAGACGGCTTTCGCCTTCAAGTCGTCTTAGGTGAATGCATAAGAAACCCTGTGTGGTTTTTATTGCACTGTTACATAGTGTTTGTTTTCGAGAAAAGATAGCCGCAAAACGCCTTCATGGCATTTTCGCTTATCCCGAAAAAGTTTTCATAAGATTTGCCCCGCATGATAAATGCACCCCGAACTTTGCTTCGATTTTTTGAAGAAAAAAAAAGTGCCATGGGGGCGAAGTGAAATGTTCTGAGTATTCCCGCTTCATGTAGTCGGACACTGCGCTGTGACTATGCAATCTTTGCACCTGATAGCACTCACTTGGTGACCACTCGATGGACGTGCTGGTAGCTGGTTTTTACTACTCCCAGCCTCCCAAATGCAACGTTTTTCACAGGCAGAATGTGAAACAGGCAATTAGTATTCAAATCTACACAGTATAGTGGGGCTCGGACCCATTTATAGTGGTGGGATTTTTACATTGATTATCATGTGCGAAGTGCCACAGTCTTGTACTGCATAACGCGTGAAAGCATATCGCAAGTTACAGTGCCCAACATAAAGTACTATACTGACAGTATAACAAACGAGGAAAGGTTTCGTTGCGTGGAAACACGATTAATGAAGCGCGGGGGACTCGCCACGAAAGCCAAGTCAAGTTTGCAATTCAATGGGCCTTTTCGCGGGTACGTGAGCGTTTTCTTAAGTTATAATAAGTCAAGGTTACTTGCTGTTTGCTGGCTCAATGTTGCTCTGGGTGTGCCTCTTCTGGGAGTGCGGATTGAAACAGGGTTATTATGCATGACACTCCCACAAGGATGCTTTCGTACGCCTGCATGCTGCGGGAAACGATGTGAGATAATGCTTCCGCGAACAGACCACATTCTGCCGATGCTCCGTCTTTCCATAATGCTTTGCAGTCGCCATAGTGGGGTGCACCGATCTCTGGAAAGGTCCGTCCTTTATCTCTCGTTTGCCGTCTTGCAGAATGGTGTTGGTGACATGGTTGATACGTTATTGGCGTTTTCCAGCGAAGCACTGTGGAGCGCTGATTGGTTAGAGCAGTGCATTCATATTTCGCGAGAGAAAGCGCGCCCTCCATTGGCTGTTGCACAGCAGCGGAGGCATTGCTTCCTCCGATCGCGTGCGCTCCCCCTGCTGCTACTTTGCTGCATTCGCTTCGGCTGGCATCTACTGTACAACTCTTTGCCTTCTGCGCTATCTTTTCGATCATTTTCTCTTCATTTCTTTCTGCACTAGTTTCTTGCTTTTTGTCTTTGTTGTTGCACGTGATGCCGGTAACGAGCTGAAGAACGTGCGGAGGTTCCGTGCGTGGAGGCGCGCTAGTGGTTTGTACGAGTATCGAGATTCGGCTATTCTGCTGCCAAGTGCCAACTGCGTAGGTGCTTGCAGCGGCAGAACTGTGGCGCAAATGCACTGATCGTCGGACTCAGTACGTACTCCAAATCAGTGCTATTGAGCGTGACGCCAAGTGTATCAGTTGCATGACATGGAACTTCGATGTTTTGCACCGAAAATTA